CGCTATCCCTCCAGCCTATAATCCATAATTTTAAAGATCTAGTAATATAGGAAGTCAGAGGCATAGGAATCTCTGTGAATTCAAGTCACAGTGTGTTCTAGGCCAGCTAGGGTTACAGGGAGACCCTTTCTCAAAACAAATCAACAAAAATTATCTCCCAAATCCAGCAATAAACTTAAGAAGTGTGTACAGCTGCATGAAAAGTAGAATACAAGCCTCACTAAAGGATCGAGAAGACACCTGAGGACGTGGTTGTCTTGCTCCTGGGCAGGAGGGTGCAGTCTTAGAGTGCTGTCCAGGTTTCATGCTCCTCAGTAAACTTAGCTCAGTCCCACCGAAAAGGTCAGCAGGTAACAGTTCTGAAAGCCGGCAGCCTGATTCTAGTGTCCACCCAGAAGAGGAATTACACACAGACAGCCAAGGTGAATCTGGAGAAGAAAAGCAATGGAGAGACACGCCCTCCCGGGAAGCCAAGTGGTGATTATTGTCACTCCTGTCTCAGGAATGACCCAAACACTGATCAGAAAAACTGAACAGAGTGTGAAGAAGCACAGGATTCTGGGACAGCCGCAGCTTCAGGAGTCTACTGGCCTTCCACACTCTGCTCCCACTCACCACCTCTCCTGAGCCATGCAGTTGCAGAGATCAGCAAAGCCCTGCAGGAAATGCAGTACTTGGTGACCTGTTTTCCCCTATAAGACAGCCTGGATCACTGGCTAGAGGAAGAGCTCTTGCCACTTCTGCATGCTCAGCTCTCCTCAATGCTCCAGAGGAAAGGAGGGAGAGATCTGCTGAGCTGAGGGTGAGGAATCTTTGGGGCTGAGAGCTGGCCTGAGCATCACCTACCTATCTGCTTGTCCTTCCATAGGCCTCAGCAACCCTGGCCACTGTAACTCCTTTCATACTGCATCGGTTTCTAGCCACTGAGTCCCAGAGATCAGGTAAAGGAAGGAAACAGGTTCCTTGAGAGACCAGCAGGCACCAAAGAACAGCAACTGAGCATCCAGCACTGTCATCTACAGAGTTGCAGAGGAGATGAAGAGCAATTTCAACAACAGCAAAAAGACTCAAAGAAAAAGTCTTCAAAGGAAAAAGTATGTTTTGAAACTAAAAACAATGAAGTCAACAACTTGAGGGCAAAGATAGCTAGAGGTGTTGGTAGCTTAGGAGATAATGTGTGAGAAATTTTGCAGATCACAGAGCAAAGCACACAGAAAGGATGTGGAGGGCAGACTTAGGGGAGCTGCCGTGGACTGATCACTGAGTCCCAGAGGACAAAGACGTTGGGAAGATGGGGAATAACCATAAAGTCTGGGCTGGGAAGTCTACAGACTAACAGTCCTACCATAAGCCAGCTTGTCAGTCACCTGCAGGAGGTAAGCACATGATGTGTGTGTATATGCACACATATGTAATCCTTGAATATTTTATATACACATATGTATATGTCAAGCAATTATATCTCTCACATGAAATCTCTGAAGAACAGAGCTTTTAGAAAGACTCAAACCCAGGTCAAATGACGTCTAATAGAGATGATGTCACAGGAGTGAGCACTCATACTTAACTGTGTATATACATATGCATCTGCACATGCATATAAACATGTGCTTAACTCCATGCATGCATAGGTGTGCATATATTTGTATATGTGTAGATTTATTATTAAATATAAAAGGATAAGAATGGACCATCTAGAAATGTATAATGCTGAATAAGGATTCTTAAAATAGAGGTGAAATATTGCAAAGGAAATTCTAATAAAATTTAGAAAGAAAAACTAGCAATTTCAGCAAAACCTAGGAGGTGGGGCAGAGCCAAGTAGAAGCACCCCACAACCTACTTGGGGTGAGGGGGAGAAAATCTGGGAAGTAAAATTGTCCTCAGTACCTTGCAGGTGGTGGCGAGAAGTCCCCAGGGGACAGATGATAAGGGGATGGAGTGTCTATGTAGGAGAACCAGCTCCTGTACCTATAGACTACTAAAAGAACAGAGTCCGAAGGATCAGAGTAGGAGCTCCAGGAGAAGAAAGGAAATTTGACCCTTAGGGAACTGGAAGAGTACAAGAATGCCTCACTAGAAAGGGGATGTGGAGGAGCACTGTGCAAGGGGCCATGTCAGGCTATGTGGGGTGGCCATGATGAATTAACAAAACATTGCACAAGCTGAACATCTATCTGTAAGGGGATAGTGAATTGAGCTGTGTCATGTCCACACCAGGGAATCCTGGAGATGTTAGAAAAGGTGAGCTGCTCTATGTAATACAGAGCAGGGGAAGAGATCCCTGCCACACTGTGATGTGAAAGAAGCAAACTGCAGAATGTGGACCAGTTTATACAGAGCATCCCAGCAACCCCAGAGCTACATTGTACCTACATCGTATGGGCAGGTGAATGGGAAAGGGCCCCCATAAGCAGAAGAGTTTTAGCCCTGTTTTGTTAGAGCATTTAACAATAAGAATGCAGCTACAAATTATCTATGTATAATTAAAAATATGTTCCTCACACATAACAGGAAGAACTTCATGATTTGAAGGACAGATGGGTTCACTAATCCATTCATCCACAAGCTGCATTAAACTCCCCCTGTAGACCAGGCTGTTGGGGGAAGCTATGAGTGAGCACTGTGCAGCTGAGTCCTGGAGACATGCTGTGCTCTCTGTCTGGAAGATGAGATAAGACTAGTAAACCAGGAATTCTGATCACAGCTGTAGGAGGCCTATGCATAAATACTAGATCATGAGAGATGAGCCCTGAGATTAAGGAGATAAGAGGAAGGGAAAGTAGCATGCTTATCTGTACGTGCGTGTTGTACATGGTGTGTGCACACACCTGCACATGGGCTCACAGAGGCTGGGAGGAAGTTTCAGGAGGGTTAGGACAGGAAGGCTCTCAGTAAGGACCATGTGTAAGGTCCCAGAAGAGTACGGCATGAGGGAGAGAGTGTGGAACTTGACTAGCCTGGTAACGGAAGGGAAGGCAGAGTAGGGAGTGCTAAGCTAGATAGGAAGGCCCCAGTAAAGTGCTCATTTGTGGAACTAATATTTCCAAAGTTGCCAGCTGTGTACCAGGCTCTGTCTCCTAATGAGTTTCACTGTCTAATGGGAGGGGAGACATCACCTAAGCACAAATAATAAATATATGACTTCATGCTTTCAAATAATTGTGATATCACATGCTTGCATGATTACAGAATCAAGATGGTCAAACTGAGAGTTGGCTTCAATGTTTAAGGTGCCAGGGAGCCACAGAAAGTTGTTGAATAGTGGAATGACTTGGCCTGTATCAAACATTGCACCTGGCACTGTGAGCAGGATGGGTTAGCTAGGCAGAGAGCAGAGCAAGGCTTGACAGAAGAAGTCAAGATGGTGGCCAGGACCAGGAACTTATGTAAGGGAGTGACAGGGACTAGCAGTGCCTGGCAATGTTGTAAGTACAGGATTGTCGGTCTTTATTGATTTGGTTTTGAATATACTACCTTTGAAGTTTTCTTGGAGACCGAAGCAATGCAATAGGCAGCTGGATTAAAAGAGCCCAGGAGACCAGCTAGCTGGAGATAATCACAGATTCAGGCATCCTCCCTTCTGGTGGAGGACACAGAATGGGTGATATGAGCCCAGGAGAGCATGGTATGGGACCAGAAAAGGAGAGGGTGGCTCTGGAGTTCCCCCAGGAAGGCACATGCAATTATACCCGAAACCTTCTCCACACCATTTTCTATCTGTTTCCAAGGAACCCAAGCTCAGGCCTCTTCAAATATGTAATTTTTTTTCAGTACCAGGTCAACAAGCAACATCAAACTCTCACCAGTGAGTTCGTTCATATGCTCTTCTTTACCAATAAGATGATCAAAGGATACAAGGGCCTTTATTCCTATTTGCATCTTCTTCCTGCCTCTTTAAAACTACTAATTTGGTATGATCTGAAATTTGTTTAAACTTTATACAAATACAGGAATCTAGAGTCTTCTAACATGAGATTCCATTAATAAAAAGTAAATCAAGTACAATATATCATTAACTTCCTTGTGACATGAGCTGAAACCAGTTTTCCTGGAAACCATTCCTGTGTCGGGAAAGCAAACAATGGAATGAGTTAACAGACAACAATGAAAGGACTTTGAGCAGTTTAAATTTGTCCCACCACCCAAACCCACCTTCCCCTTAACAAGATTCCCAAGATGTCCACAATTACTCTGAAGTCACCAAACATGTAATGTGTGTAGTAAAAAGAAACTAGAATTAAGAAATATCTGGCTCTTACAAAATTTGCAAAACATATAGCCTTGAACATGGCTATGCTCCAGCCTGGGCCTTGGAAGGAGCCTGTGCACCAGTGAGGCCCCGAAGTTCACCCGCCTCACTGCCTAGATCTCCCCTTAGGAAGTTACCTCTAGTTAGCTGTGCTGTTGGCCTCTATGTTAGTTTGTTCTGTGTGACTCTCTCTACCCTGGTCAGTCCTTCTGTACCTAGAGGTGTCAACACCTAGAAACCAAGTCCAATGTACTGCACTGTTGCTTGTGATTTTCCTAGCCCACCCCTCTGCAAATAACCCCTCCCTGGAACTAGCCCATTTAAGTGTGCCCTCTGTTCCTTGCTGGGACCCTGGCTGCTTTCAGCTCCCTCTTCCTCAATAAGAACCTTTCTTCCTTACTCACCAGGAGATCCAGGTCCCGTCACTATCGCAAACTGTAGCTTAACCCATCTTTTTGCCTGAGATGCCCTAAGCAGATCCTACTCATCCTTTCAGACCCAGCTTATCTTCCTCCCAGGCAGTCATTACCGCTAAGTCCATCTCTTAGGGAGACCCTAACAAAAGGAAGGATGCTCCTTCCCTCCCCTGGGCCTGCTGGGATTCCCTGTATCTGTGAGTATGCGAGTGATTAAAAAGAGGCTGGCAGCTTGCCCTGCACAGATCGGCGCCTGAGGGTTTCTGCAGGAATGTGAGGCTGAGCATAAATGCATGCTTCTTACTGGCCTGCTTTACAGAAGCCACGTCATACTTAGAAAGAAGGCTCCAAGTGTTCCCAGGGGAACAGAGTCCGGGGTTTCCTTCTTTCAGGCTTGCAGACAGTGATGGAAGCAGCCTCAGCCCAAGAAGGTGAAACTCTTCCTGGAAGGGGGGCAGGAGGGCTCCTGGCACAGTGGTCTGCAGGGCTTGGGAAACTGCTCCAAAGAAAGGTGGCTGTAGGGCCAGGTAAGTTCCTGGGGTGAACAAATATGGGTCAGAAAGGATGTTCTTATCACCAAGAGTGTAGGAAATCTGCTTGGTATTAGGGAGTTTCAAGAAAAATACCATGGGGACTATTGGGCTGAACTTTCTGCTCTGACCTTCTAAGTCTATGTGCTAAAATACAGACACGTTCAAACCAGGGAAGTACCAGATGTCTGGAAATCTTTTACTGGGTGCATTAAAATTAGATTCATTTTATCTCATTGTAAAATTAGAATGATAAGTGCTATGGTTTGAGTGTGTCCTCAAAAGTTCATGTGTTCAACTCTTAATCCTCCACACAGCACTGCTGAAGGTGGGGCGTTTAGGGGAGTTTGGGGCATGGATGAGCAGCCCTGGGATCCGATGAAAACCTTTCTCCCCAGGGACTGACTCCTCACTCTTGTGGGGGTGGGTTACCCTGGAGGCTGCATCTCGTGCTTGTGTCTTTTGTTGGCAGCTGCTTGCTCTTCCACTTCCTACGAGAGCAGCAGGGTGCTCTTGCCAGAAGCCTAGCGCCAACCGCTACATTCCTGCACTTCAACCTCTAGGACTGTGCACCACAATAATGCTCTTTCAGTACAAATTACCCATCTCCACCATTCTATTTTTTAATATTTATTTTATATTTTTAATTGTGTGTGTATATATGTATGTCTGTGTCTGTGCTGGTATGCAGGTATGTACACAAGTCTAAGTGTCCTCAGAGGCAAGAGGAATTGGATCTCCTGGAACTGGAGAGTCACAGGAGATTGTGAACTGTCTGACATGGGTTCTGGGAGCTGAAATCCAGTCCTCTTGGAAGAGTAGTAGATGCTCTTAACCACTGAACCATCTCTCCAGCCCTGGTCTCAGGTATTCTGAGACAGTACGCTTATCTAAAGGTAAGGATGTGATAATCTCCACATAGTGTGTACAACTGGGGGTGATGGTGAAAGTGACCATCATAGCCAGTGGAATATATATATATATATATACGTATATATAATATCATGGCTATATGCAAATGTATATACATATATGCACAATATATGTGCATATCTTGTATGTATACAACATATGTATAAATATATAATAGCCAATGAACCATAATTATTAGGCATTAGTGGAAAGATCACCCAGTGCTGACCTACGGTAGATCTGTGATATAACAGACTCCATACCTAAAATTGTTCTGGCCTTAAAACAAGTCAGTTTTCTACACTGAGCCTCTGTGTTCTCATCTATCAAGTGTGGGTGATCCATACTGCCACCTCTAGTTGAAAAGATTCTATGCTTCTGGTAAAACACCAGTCACACGCCATTGGGAAAGTAAACGGTTTAGTCCTCCAGTTAGGTGAATTAATTCTCCTTAGAGCAGCTCAATGACAAAGCCAAGAGGTACAGTGCTTGGCCTTTCATCCTGGTTCTGACTCTTCCATTTTGTGAGTTCTGATGAGCCAGCACACTTCAGGAGAACACAGAGGGTGTGGCCCCAGGCTCACAAGCTTAGTCTGAGTCACTGCTTCTGCTTCATGGCACAAACCCCAAACTGTCCTGGTCTCACCATGTCAGCTCCAGCTGAGGAAGTGGCATTTTAAGGCACTTTATACCAAATAAACACTTAATCAAATTTCCTGGCTCAGAATGTGCCTCTAAATGTAATCCCCTAGGCTCAAACAACAAGAAGCCTCTTGGGGTTTCCTACATCTTGGCTCCTGTTAACTTTTTAAGCTGTCTTGGGCCATGACTCTTCCCCGTGAATAAGCCAAGATTGGCAGAATAACCACAGGACCATCTTGGGGGAGAGAAGACCCATCTCTTTTTTTCAGCTTTCCATGACCCTGTATCTGGAACCAGATGTAGTTCTCTGCTGAGTCTGTTTTCTCAGAGTGCACACATTCTACCTTAATGCTAATTTATTAGTAACAGAACATGACACATCATTTCCTTAAACTCAGGAGAGAAAGTTGTTTTCACAAGCAAACAGGTAGTACCCAGAAGGCCTGAAGGCCTTTTCTCAGAGCACTGCGTATGGATCAGACAAACCCAAGTATGATTCTCCACTGATCATTTTTAAGCTGTGTAACCTTAGATGCATTATCAACCTCTCAGAACTTCCATTTCCTCCTTTATAAATACCTGCCTCCCAGTGTGGTCATATAATGTAGACGTACTATTCATAGGGCAATAACTCAATAAATTCTAGTTCCTTTCTTTTCCTTTCACAGAACATCAGAAGTCGTGTCATGGACTATCCGCTTGGTAGCATTATGGAGCCATTTTATCAGGCTTGTGCTTAGCTCCCCACAGTGCTACTCTTCCCTCATCCTCTTACTTTCTCTAATCCAGTTGCAGGCAACCTCTCCACACTCATTCTCACCTTCCACTGAGCTGTTGCTTCCACCCTGCTCTGCCTAGACTGCCCTGCCTCATCTCTACATGCCCAGGTTAGCCTCATTTTCCAACGCCTGATTCACTGGCCTTGGTGGAAAGCAGCCCTACATTCTTAACTAGAAGTGAACAGCGCCTCTCCTGAACCGCCACACGCTGTTGCTGACTCTGCTTCCTTCTGCTACAAAGAAGCAAGACCATTACCCTCCCTCCTCCAGCTGACTGACCTCTTTGAGAATGATAAATAGTATCCATGTATCATCTTGGAACCCCTCCACAGGGTGCTGTGCCCAGAGCAGAAACTCAGTAACAAATGTTGAGGAAGGAAATGTAGAGAGCTGGGTTTGTTTATCAAGGGTGGAAGATGAGAAAGACAGGGAGGATGGGAAAGAAAGGAAACAGAAAAGGAAAGGGCATTCCCACTTTCATAGTAGCTGTTATAAACCCTGATTCACAGAAACAGAAAAAGAAGCTCACTGCCCTGTGCTGGGCAACACCCTCAATGCTCAGCACACATCCTTTCCTTCAATATTCACAATGGCCCTTATGAAGTGCTATTATCCTCAGTCTGTAGATGAAGAAACTGAGGCCCAGAGAACTTACATTGGAACCCAGGTTTACGAAGCTCATCCCAAGGGTGGTTGGAATGTGCACACTGCACCTCTGATGAACGGGCCCTGTATTTTTTATAACTCATCATATAATCCCAAATTCCTCTGAGGAGGAGAAACAAACAGAAACTGATCAAGACACCCTGGTCTAACCCAACCTCAACATTCAAGTTTTCCCATTTATCCATCCTCCACATCCAACAAGAGCTGCTCTAAGACTATTCAGGTCCCTGCATTCCACCACAGACAGGGCAGAGTCCTGAGCCCCACTTCACCCCAGCCGCTCTGGGCTCTCTCCCTGCAAGATCTCCAGTGTGGACTCAAGCAAGCTTCCAGGAGTTGAAATGCAAAACATCTTTCTTTGAAAGCACTTGTGCATTGGTTTCCCTGCTTTGGATCACTTAAGGCAGACTTGAGTGGCCTTTTAATAGGTTTGTTTTGTGGTTGGTTTATTCCTCTTTTGGGGTGAGTGGATTTCACTTAGCTGTGTGAAGAAGGAAAGGCTGTTTATGAGCCAAGTGGAGCAGCAGACATCAGACAGGCTGAAGGATGTTGAAGTTTCCCATGGGCCCTACAAGCCCCTTGAGCATCTGACAAAGCTGGTTTGCTGCCTGATCACTTTTATTTTGATTTTCACTCAGTTATTCAGGATCTATTTTACTCACCTGGAAAGTTGCATAATCTGAAAAGCTCAAGACAATTGATTCCTAGTTGCTGTCCCTGTTTTGTTTTAGCAAGGTGGATGAAATGGCCTTGTCCTCTACAGCAAGACTGTATGCACCTTTACTGGTAAAGAGGAGAGGAGAGTTGGGGCCATTTCCCATTCTGATCAGGTAGTAATTTTCAAATAGAGACAAAAGTGATGCACCTCATTAATGAACTCAGTTACTCCAACTGGCCCAGTCTAGGAATGGAAGCAAACATTTGTCGAGTTCCTGATGCACATTTACCCAGACCTCGTGATCCCCTGGGCAACTCTAAAATGTTTCACAGATTCTCCAAATTCAGTATATTGCAAATTTAACTTATTATTCTCTCTCCATCCTGTTCTCCCAATAGCGGAACTTGTACTATTTCAACTCACTGTCTGTGTCAGAAACTCAGCACTACTCTCAGTTCTCAGCCTCTAGCCTCCATATCTAATTTGTCTTTTTATAGGATGTATCTAAGTGCCTTCTAAAGATCTGTCATCTGTCCCTCTTGTCTCTCTACCACTGCCTTATTACAAGCTACCATCATTTCTCATCATATCTCTGTCTCCATTCGCCCTCTCCAGTCCTCTTCCACACCATCCCTTCAAGGATGTGGCCAACACAATTGTGTTATCCTATTGTCCTGCTTCATCAAATCCTCATCAACCAGTGGGTAACTTGACACATGGGACGCCTCACCCCTTGGCAAATGGCCAGCTCTGCCAGCTCATCTGCTGACACAGGACACTCCAGCCATACTAGAAAGGCACTCTCCTCCCCAGCGTGCACTGTGGTCCAGAGTCTGGTTGATATATCCTACCTATATTTGAAACCATGGAAAACTACTCACCTTCCAAACTTTGCCTCCTTGTAGAAGCCTTCCTATATTCTCCAAGAAAGTGTCAGATGGGGAGGAGGAAAGACACACTCTTTATATATCTGTGGGTGCTGGTGAGATGGCTCAGCAGGTAAAGGTGCTTGCTGCCAACTCTGATGACCTGAATTCAATACCTGGGGCCCACATGGTAGAAGAAGAGAACCTTTTCCTGAAAGTTGTCCTCTAACTTCACCCATGTACTGTGGCATGTGTGTGCAATACACCTTGGGTCCCACGAATACCATGCACACAAAATAAATAAATGTGATTTTAAAAAATACTTTTTTAGCCAGGTGTAGTGGCACACACCTTTGATCCCAGCACTTGGGAGGCAGACACAGGTGGATCTCTGTGAGAACGAGGCCAGCCTGGTCGACATAGTGAACTCCAGGCAAGTTGTGGCTACAGGGAGACCCTGTCTCAAAAAGAATTTTTTTTAAAGCTGTAAGACTATAGAAACGAATGCCAATCGTCCAGTTGATCATAGCCAACATTTTGTTGTATTTGCTGCCAACTCTCAACTGCCGAGAGGAAACTGATAGCAAAAGGAAGCGAAAAAGGGATCCCAGAGTGAGTTATTAAGACCTGCAGGTGGGATGAGATCCCAGAGAACCAGGAAGAGGCCAAGTGGAACCTGTCAAAGTATTCTTCTAACAGAATTTAAAATGGCAGAGTCACCTTTAAAAAAAAAAAAAAAGCCACTTTCCCAAAGACTGATAACCCAACGAACTATATATCCTGGTAGAAAACTGAGAGCATTAAGTGAAAAAAATCTTATTTTATTGTGGATTTGGCATAGAAAAATATTTGGAAAAGATGGCAATACTGTAAAACTTTGGATTGCTTGACTGTTTCAGCGCTTGTTGAAAATGGTTATGTGCCAACCCAGAAGGCCGTGCACTGAGATATTAACTGTGACTGCCTTTGCATGACAGCACTGGAGGCAGCATTTTTTCTGCACCTTGTCTGTCTGTCTGCATTGTTTTAAACAACAAGGAAAAAAAAGTGCTATAAAAATATATTTCAGCCAGGCCTAGTGGCACACACCCTTAATCTCAGCACTAGGGAGGCAGAGGCAGGTGGATCTCTGTGAGATTGAGGCCAGCCTAGCGAGCTCCAGGTCAGCTGAGGCTACAGGGAGTCCTTATCTTAAAAAAAAAAAAAAACATTCCGAGTTCAGTAGTTGAGGTTTTTCTTTCATGGAAGACATAGAATATTCAAAGAAGGGAGATTGTTTGTTGACTACCTTGAATTTGAAGCTGGAACTCTGAGGAGATTTCTCCCAGTTAGGATTATGGACTGTCCCACACAGGGGACAGCAGCTGACCTTAAGTCACATGTAATGCATTCAGAGGCGAACAATCACTGCAAAAACTCCCAAACACACAAATGCATAACGGTTAAAAATAATAAACAAACGGAGCTTCTGTGTCTTCATGCCTGGGAACAAGGGCCTGTTCTTCTCGTCTTTATAATGAAATAGTGAGGTTCTGTGGAAAAACTCCAGCAGTTGGTCAATGATCTGAGCACAGTGTTGCAGCCTGTCACAGAGTCCAGAGTCCCAGCTTCACCTGCAAAAGGGCCTGTTCTTCTCGTCTTTATAATGAAATAGTGAGGTTCTGTGGAAAACTCCAGCAGTTGGTCAATGATCTAAGCACAGTGTTGCAGCCTGTCACAGAGTCCAGAGTCCCAGCTTCACCTGCAGCTGAGATCAAAGGTCTAGTGACACACAGCTGGCAGTGGACTTCCCCTGCAGAAAGATACCAAAGAAAAACAATTTCCATTCTTTTTCAAAGTCAGTTTTCGTTATTTGGTTTTTAATTTGGAGGTATTTCAAGAGAAAGGGGTTTATTAGAATGTTTCCACATACATGGAAAAACCAAGTTTTGCTTTGTCTCCTGAAAGTTACATTCTCACTCCAGGACAGATTACAGTTGATAAAATGGCTTTTTAAATCTTGCAAAACTTCCATTTTGAAAGCAGAATGCCTTGCTCTGTTTTATTTAATCTTGTGCATCCAGCATGGTCACAAGCAAAATGCCCAATTTGATTTCTTTGGGTTAGATGTCCTCCTAGTTGTTTTTAGTTCCTCTTGCCTTCCGGGGCAGGGGGAGGTGGCTTATGACAATCTTGTGTTGCAGCTTGCTCTTTAAATATCCAAATGGTGAGGGTAGTTTTCAGCAATCCCTAGATGAACCATCCTGAAACACCTTTTCAGTGCAAGGTCAAACACCCGTATTTCCCCAAGGAAGCTTTCTACCACAGCTTGCCAGGACACCACTGTTGTATGAAATGCAAGAATTGATGGTGGTATTTGTGTTTGATGAGCATGAACTGAGGATGGCAAGCCAGGTTCCACCCCATAGACTTCCTTTAGAGAAGTCATTTTCTGTTTTCAGAACCTCTTTCCTCTAGACACCATGAAGAATAAGAGAAAAATAATTGGTGATACTTATTTAATCATTCACTCAGTCAGTCAGCCAGCCAGCCAGTCAACACAGTCTTATTGGCCATCTGCAATCTATGATGTTAGACACTAAGAGATGGATTAGTTTTGCAAAGAATAGAAAGTGAGGTGTGAAAGTATCTCATACTGTACAGTGTCTATGAGAAAGCTGAAGAAAGTCCAACCTCTCCATCCTCTATAGTCATAGGTCCAAATTCCACCACATTCCCCTCCACATGTGGATAAACTGCCAAGTTACAAAGTAAAATAAATGCAAGCCACAGAAAGAAAAAAAAGTCCTTGCCCAGGGAATGAACAGCTACCCTTGAGTCTCGGGTCAGCGCTTTACAGTTCCACGTCAAAAAGAGGAGGGTCGCATCCAGCCTTGCTGCACTCTGGGTCTGAGCAGGGCCTTCGTGGTGGACTATAGGGATCAAGAGGTTGGATTTTCTTCAGCTTCAGAATCTTTAAAGGCACTTTCTCGTAGTATTCAGCTCCATCTTCAGGACTCAATAACAGTTTAGTTGCCTTTGCACCGTCTGTGCTTTGAGGTTTAGGAACAATTTTTAAGAAGATAATGAAATCATGACTAATCATGTTAATTCATGTGGAACTGAGCCTATCAACAGCGGGTTTAACTCTCATGCTTGGAGCATTTTTATAAAACACTACAATTTAAGGATTTTTTTACTCAAATTGTGGAAAGATAGAGATAATTTGTAGACCTTAGTGACTTGGATCATTAAGTTAGCCTTAAAATTTATAACTCTTGTAGTATGATCTCACAAAGATCCAGTTAGTCAGTAATTTTTTTATTTCAACTATTTATTCTGATAAATGTCCAATATGGCATAGAAAGATGTCTGGCTTTGGTAAAGAATGTAAGTTATTTATTTCCTTTGGTGATTCAACATCTTGTAGTATCTCAAATTTCTCATTCTTGATACCAGTTGCCGTTGGACAGGACTATAGGTAAGAAAGATGTAAGTGTTTGAGATGAATGCATACGGACATCAAAAGATTCCTTGACAAGTACAAAGTCCTCTCTGATATAAATGTGCATATGCGTGCACGTTGTTCATTCTTCTAAAAAGAGGATTTTTAAAAATATTTTATTTATTATTTTTATGTTTATGAGAGTAATACCTAATGTATGTAAGTACACCTGTGTTGTGCAGTACCCACAGAGGTCAAAAAAGGGCACTGGATCCCCTAGAACTGGAGTTAGAGATGGTTGTTAGCTGCCATGTGGGTGCTAGGAGCTGAACCTGGGTCCTCTGCAAGAGCAGCCAGTGCTCTTAACCTCTGAGCCATCTCTCCAATCCCAAGAATTTTTAAAATATCAATTTATTCCAGATTCTGTTTAGTCTGGTATTTTACAGTTCTGACTCACTTAAAATTTACAGCATTTATAGTGTTCTTGTAATTCCCACACCCTGATTATCTGTGTAGAACACTTCAGTCTTGCCTTAGAAAGTGTTCCACAATCATACATTTATAGAGTGAAAGAATTTGGGAATTTTCCCAGTTATGAGCTAAATGCAACATCTACCTCCCAATTGATTAAAACAAAACTTTGCTTCTTAAGAATACATATAATTAGGGGCTGGAGAGACAGCTCTGTGGTTAAGGGTATTTATTGCTCTTCCAGAAGACTCAGATTTGGTTCCCACATGGCAGCTCACAACTGTTCATAACTCCAGTTCTGGGGGGATTCAACTCCCTCTTCTGGCCTCCGTGGCTGCTGCACACACATGGTGCACCTACATACATGCAGGCAAAACACTAATGCACATAAAATAAACTGAATAAATTTAAAAAAATTTTAAGAATACATACAGCTGAAGTCTTAGCTTGATTGAATAAAGCATATAAATTACTCGTATTTATTTCCAAAAAAATTCTTAAACTTCTAAAGAGCTAAAATAAATGATTACTGCCTGGACTCAAAAGCCATGTGGAATGAATTTTGTTTCAGTGGGTCATAACATTTCTCAGAGCCTCAGACACTCCTCTGTGATGAGGCAGAAATGGAAATGAGAAGACATGTTGTCTGCTGACAAATATAGAAAGCATTCCACGGACTGAATGAGTGTGTACATGCTTTTCTGTTTCCATCTGGATCTTTTTCAGCATGATTACTTATTTTTAGGTTGGCATTTTAGAGGGAAGATGAAATGGCTTTAGGAAATGATGTGAAAGGTTAAGATGATGGATGAGAAGTGTTAAGTTCAGAGCTGTCAAGAAGGAAAACAGCCTTCATTGTATGTTCAATGTATTTCTTAGGGGAAAGTAACAGATATCTATATTTCTGCTTCATCTGTATTTCTGAATCCTGTAAACTCAAGTAGGCAAACCATAGTGTAAAGTATTATAGAAAAGTGTGGAATTTGAAGACACAAGCATAGGGGAGGAGGTGTAACCAAATAATGAGCAGGGCCCCAAAACAGATGGATGCTTTTTTACAGCCTTAGAATCACACGGGAGGAGGTATGAGTGAGAAAAAGGATAATTTGCTATGTTTGTTCCTGGTGAACTCAAACAGACCACCAGCACTAAATTACAGAATTTTCAAAGAAGCATTGAAGAAAGAAGTCCTATGTACTATTTTTCTAACATTTTGGAATTCAAGATATTTTAGCAAGCTTTATAGTTTGTTAACTTTTTTAATAGTATCTAATGAGGTAATCAGTTCTCACTGTGCTTTTAAGTTGATCATCCAGGTGTGCCAAGACACAACACAAGGAAGTCAAGACACACACCAGACCACAGACACCTCCACATGGTATAGATGTTACACATTTGTTTTTGAGCCATGCCAACCTGATCCCTCTGACTCCTGAGTCTATGTTGCCCTGAGGCTCCACACCTGACTTCTGGATTGGAGTTAGAATCTGATCATCTTTGAGTATATATGAGCTCAAGGCCTCATATTTAACCTTTAACAAAAGGGTATCCAACTCAGTCTATGGACCACATGCATCCCAGAATAGTTATTAATGTGGACCAACACAAAATTGCAAACTTACTTAAAACATTATGGGATTTTAGCAAAATAACAATAGCAGTAGTTTCACCCCTAGGGACTGTGATCTTCCCAATCACGGGTTCTTGGTCAAATTTGCGGTACCAGGCATTTGTTTCCTCCTGTGGATCTGGCCTTAAATCCAATCACAGAGTGGTTGGTTACCCCCATAACATTCGTGCCACTATTGCACCCATGGGCATACTGTGCCATGAAGGTCATTACTGCAGTTCACAGCTGGGAAAGATTGTTGATGACTTCTCCTCCCACAGCCTGCCTAGCACCTTTCAATACTATGAGGGCTAACCAACAGGGAAGAAGTTTCCTGATTTCTCCATGACTTGATTTCTCCATGTCCTATGAGCAATGTGTATGGTGTCTTCAGTTATCATCAAGTTCTGGTGGGTAGCCAAGAGCAATGTCAATAGCCTGTATTGGTAGGGGGGGCTCCAGTATACCTCTAACCAACAACTTAAGGGGAGGTATGCCATGTCTGGCACTGGGATTTCTAATTGGCAATCTATGGCTTCCAGGCCATAATCTGATATGTAGGGTAATTCCAATTATACATATAGACACACACACACATGAAGTTTATAAAATAGATTTCCTTATGACTTTTTCAGACATCCTTAGAAGTAGTTATTCTTCCCTCAGCCCTTTCTCCTGACCTACCTTCCATTCCCTCCCCACTTAAACTTGCCTCCCCTTTTCTCCTTCATATCACCTATGTTCTATACTCCCCTCTCTTTTAAAAAAATATTTTATTTATTAATTTTTTTTGTCTTTTTGAGACAGGGTCTCCCTGTAGCCCCAGCTGTCCTGGAACTCACTATGTAGACCAGGGCAACCTTGAACTCAGAGAGAACTGCTTACCTCCGCCTCCTCAGTGCTGGGATTAAAGACATGTGCCACCACGCCTGGCTTATTTATTATTTTTATTTTATGTGTATACATGTATTGCCTGCATGTGCACCTGTATTGTGCAATGCCCACAGAGGACAGAAGAGTCTGTTGGATCCTCTGGAACTGGAGTTATGGACAGTTGTTAGCTGCCATGTTGGTGCTGGGATTCAAACC